ACATAAATTTTGAATTTTGATATTAAAATGTAATGTTATATTTTTTATTTTGTTTACGTATAGATTTATGTGTATGAATACGTTCTTATCTGTGTGTATATATTATGATTCTGCAGAACAGTTATTATTTTTTTATACGAAGAATTGAGCGAGAGTGAATTTCAGATTTGAAATTACAAAATGTCTTAGGCAAGAAGTATACAAAAAGTACAAAATAATTTTACATTCGTCTAATTACCATCCTACAACAGCTACAGAAGCTACATTCCATAGCAACGCTAATTAACAAAACAAGAGCGAGACTGCAATTACTAATAATATATTGTTTATTTATAGCTATTACATAAACTTTACGAACTTTGTAGTACATACCTTTGACGCTGTTTCTGCTATTTTATAACTAAAAATACAAGCAATATGAATACCAAATTGGCAAAGGAAATTGGTAAGTTAAAAGATTATTGTATAAAATTATGTAATTAATATGCTCATTTATTAAAAAGATAATAACGTATGATATAAAAGTAGTAAAAATGTTATTTCTTTTATTTATTATGTGATATATTGTTGTCTTAAAATTTAGATTTCTAAGGAGTTTAATAGCAATTGATTTAGGTCTTGCAATTGATTGACTACCATAATTTTTCTAAATTACGTCAATTTAAATATAACTTACAAGTAACACTACCAAAGTGCCACTCGCCGATTTTGATATACTTACAATTAGCTAATCGTATAGCGTGATATATATATATATATATATCTATATATATATACATATATATTGTATATATAAAAATTTAATTTTAAAGTAAAGTATGATTTCGTTGGCTTTTACAACAGAAAAAAAGAAAATTATAATTTTAGATATAATCATTACAGTGTACTTTATATTTAGATGTACATCAGTTATTTTCTTAAATTGTTTAATTAATGTTTTGTTGTTTTTATATGTAAATTATTCTGTAATTGTATTTTGATTTTAATATTAAATGTGAGTTGCAATAAAATTTTAATTGAAGAATTTAGAATAACTGGAGGAGAAATATCCGTACATTATGCTTTGATTTTAACATACGTTTAATTACATGTACGTAATGTTAATGTTTTTATCGATATTTATTGTAATTTAATATTTTAATTAAATAACTAGATGTGCTTAAGATTTCTTCCTTTTGAATTTGATATTTAATAACTTATTTATCTATAATCTGTTCCTCCTAGAAAATACAATAAAGGAGGGGCGTTTTCAGTTTGCCGTTAAATGTCTAAATGAAATTATGCAAATTAATTCGGATACAAATTTTGTCTTCAGTCCGTCTTGCATATATGAAGCACTTTTACGAATGTACATGTTGATCAAAGGTAGCATTGCAATGCGTCTAAACGAGATTCTTTCTTTAAAGAACATCAACCTAATAGATTTGACAAATTATTGTTCTTATAACAAAAAAAAGGTTAATATAAGTAAATATACCTACTTATCAAATTTTACATTTGATGATATATTCTTTAATGGAAAAAAGTCAAAATTACAATCGGTATATGAAATAACATGTAAAAATAGTTATATGAAACAAAAATGCCGCTGTTCTGAAATATTAATAACGGGTTAATTGCGATGACAAAAAAACACATTTTTTAGCAAAATTGAAATTCAATATGCTTTGTTAAAGCTCACATTTGTCAGTAAGCAGTTTTTTAAATGACAGATTTTTGATAAAATTCAGAAATGTTTGTCAGCAAAACATCTCCATATAATTTTGATTTATTTTCTTGTCTAATTTTATATTAAGAATATACCACATTTAATATGTGTTTGCAAAAATAAAAGCTTGAATAAACAATTTATAAATAATTGATGTCTGTTATCTAGAAGAAAATGAATATTTTATAAACAATTTATTTGATATTTTCGATTCCAGGAACAATGGAGTAAATAATAAAAAAACAAAAAGATCTTCCTGACCCTTCTTGCGATTGTTACGTTAAATGTTGGTGTAAACATGATATAAAATTTTATGATAAAGCAGTACTGCATATGTTTGGCTCAGAAATCAATTCTTTAGATTTGCTCCTTGATTCTGATGACAATATGGACGAAGTGAATTCCGTTTTAAGACAAATCGTAAACCAAACGAAGGGATACATTTATTATCCTGAGGGATTAGCCGAAATGACATTTACTGGAAACGATTTTATTTTGATGAGCTTTATGAGTGGCATATTCCGTAAACTATCGTTCCATCAAACTGACGCACCAATATATCGACTATTAGAAACAATGAAGTTATAAACTGTAATTGCACGCCATTTATTTATTTTATTATATAACATATGTAACAAATTTTTCATAATGTAATTTTTAATTGAATTTTAAACAGAACGTTATGTAGAGAGAATATCGTTTACTTTTATTTTTAATAAGTATTGCTTTCGGATTTATATCCAAAAGTAATCTGTTAATATATATAATAATATATTTATATAACAAAAACATATTAAATTTTCTATATGACTAGTAGTATTGCATGATTATGCTGGGTCGGAAAAAGACCAACATGATCCAGTAATTTTACACAAATATTTTTTTCAGTATAAGCTTAACGTTTTTTTTAGACTACCATGAAGGACTGAGCATGTATGTGATGGACATACCCTATAACAATGCCAACATTTCGTTATTTACGTTCCTACCTGCAGCGTTAAGCTCAGGTAAATGGAAGATCATTGAGAACATCAACAGGAATGATCTTCTCTATTTGACCCAACGAATGTCGACCGACGAAGGAATGAACAACTTGCGCGAGCTGTTAAGAAACAGTAGAACATTGAAGTTTGTCATAAAAGAATTTACATGTTCCCAAAATGTTTGTTTATCTTTCGAGGTGGAGAAAAATGTGCCAGTCCGTGATCTTTTAAAATCATTAGGCGTCGAAGAATTGATAACGTCCGAAATGCTCGAATTGCAAACTAAATGCCGAAAATGCCTACCGTTGAAAATTAATTGTCCCAAGGTGCACATCAACAATGTTGCGCACCGTTCTCACATAAGAGCCACAAGAGATGATGTGATTCTAGGCGCAGTGACTTTGATCCATTCCGGTGGAGACGCCTCTCCGGATGGCAAAATAGAAGACGTTAAATGGTGTAATATACCTTTCGTCTGGCTGATCTATGACAGACTGCAAGAAGAAATCCTCTGTGTCGGCAGCTTTAATAATAGTACCTGCCCAAATTCTCAAATTGTACCGATAGATATATATCAGTCAGGTCCATCAGGCGTTCCGCCAACGAAAAAGCAACGGCTCGCCTAGATTTAAAACTTTTTGGAAATTCTAGATTGAGAAACAAATCTTTCAAAAAGTAGGTGTTTAAAAAATGGTTTTTTTATTAATTTTTTAAATATTGAATATCCGACCATCGCAGTTTAATGCAAATAGTTTATGGGGTAAAATGTAAAAACAAGTTTGGCATTCTTAACAAGATTATAAGTTTAGAATTTCGTAAATCTATTATGCACTATGAAAAACGAATTATATAACAAATCTGTAGTTGCTGCATAATGATATGTAATTATGTGATAAGTTTTTATTTCTTCTTATGATTCAACATTTTGATGATTCAAATTGACATGCATTATATTTTGTGCGCAACATATTTTATGAACAATTTCTGCTAACAATTTGGAGATTAATGATATAATCTTTTGGTTATTTGAATTTAATGCTTGCACATGTGTGAAATTTATAAATTTCTGAAACTAAATAGAAGATTGCTCAAATTTTTAAAAGTTGTATAAAAAATATGATATTATCAGGTAACAATAATGTATATTTTATAAGTTCTGATAAATTATTTAAAATACGTTCCTTAAGGTACACATACATATATGTATACATATATACACACATATGCACATACATATAAAGACATTTTTATATAAGTATATTTTTATGTAAGTATATATAAATATTTATACATCATAATTTAAGCACTTGTGTATGAATGTTTGTATGTACGTATATGCATCTATGTATATTGTTTCTGTCATATATTCCATTAAATCAATTTATTCGTATTCTATGCTAAAACAATTTATAAACGAAAAATTGTTTATTTCGATATTTAACAATACTTATATGTATCATTGTGTTCATATTTTAATATTGCTTATAAAATTGTAAGCATTTTAATTATCCTATCAGAACTTAATAGAAAGAATATAGGCTGTGCTCTCATAGCCAAATTAATTAATGATTCTATTCATTTTAATAAAAAGAAATATAAATAAATGTTTCTTTCTCAAATATGTGTATCAATGCGATGTCATTAACTCCATTTTAATCATGTTATAAAATTGTATAGCGTTCTGTGCATTATAATTTTTTTGTAAAATATTATTTAGATCCTTTTTAATTGTCCAACATCAACAGAATCGATGAATTTTTATTCTTTTACATTAGATGTACGCTATATATGTATACATATATACATATATATATATATATATAGTATATATATATATATATATATATGTATGTCTACCTATTACTATATATTCTTATAACTGTATTACGTAATGTGAGATGTGACACTATATAATTATAAATAAATTTTCAATTTTTGGCATTAAAATTAAATTATATGTTTTGATGTTCTGTTTAAGTATATCCGTGAGTAAATTTGTTTGTATTCTTGTATATATGTTATTGTTTTGATAGATTATCTTTAGTCTACGAGAAATCGAGGGAAAGCACGGATTAAAATTTGAAAATTATATTACAAAATCTTAGGCGAAAGAGAAAGTATTTATACCTAAAAGAAAAAAACAATCTTACATTTGCCTCAAATACCATTGCAAATATTACATTATATTATATAGCAACTCTAATTAGCAATACTTGAATGAAACTGCAATTGCTAAATAATATTGCGATTGAAACTGTTAAATAAAATTTGCAAATTTTGTGGCACACACTTTTGTTTTTGATTTTTTATTTATAACAAAAAAGGATGAAAAACGTAATGAGTGAAGAGAGAGCAAGAGAAATTGGTAAGTTTAAATATTATTCTATGAAATCATGTATTTATCGAGTTGATTTATCGAGAAGTTAAGAATCTAAAGTATAAAGTAATATAAAAACGTTACTGCTTTTATTTATTATTTTATATATTGTTGAAGAAACTTAAGAATTGGTATTTCTTTGTAATTTAATAACTATGGCTTGCTGTTACAACAAGTCTTGCAATTAGGTTGACTAACCATAATTTTTTTCTAAATCTGCATCGATTATAATTTAGGGAATTGTAAAACGTTATATATATATTTCACAATAAATTGAAGTTTAAAATATGACTAACAATAAGTCAGCTTTCAGGAAAGAAGAAAAGTTCATTAGAATTTTAGATATAATCACTGTAGAATGTAATTTCTTTATTATTTATCATTAAATATTTCTTTCAAGATTTATTAATAATAAAATTAATAGATTTTAAGTTTTGCATAAACTTTTTAAATGTAAGTAAAATTCGTTATTAAAGGAACGGTGTTCAAACCATAGTCATATTGTTAAACACATTTTTTAAGTTATTTTTCTTTTTTTATTGCTTTGAGTGTTCTTATATAGTTATTGTTGATTCAGTTATATGTTTATATTAAATATGAGTTATAATAGAATTTAGCTATGCGCGTTGAAAATAATTGTCGATTAATTTTTAATATATTACATGCTGTTGACTTTATTGCGTATTTAATTATATGTATTGTTAATTGATGTAATAATTTCATATAAAAATGTTGTGATTTATTATAATTAAATTATCTTAGCTATTTTTTACGTTTTTTTTTTCTGAATTTGACCTTTTACTTATTTATCTATTTTTTTTCCTAGAAACTCAACTAAAGGATGGGCGTTTCAATTTCGCGATCAAATGTCTCCATGAAGTTATGAAAGTCAATCCGGATAAAAATTTTGTCTTTAGTCCACTTTCCATATATGAGGGTCTTTTCCTAACAAATATATTGATTACAGGAGAAATAACGAATCGTCTCATAACTATTCTTTCTTTAAACGGGATCAGCAAAGCAGATTTGATCAATTACTGCATTTGTAAAAAGGAGTCGACTGTAAACATTCCTATCGCATTTTTGCATTAGATAATACATTTCATTATGGAAAAAAGCTAAATTTGCTGTTTATGTATAAAATAATATGTAAAAACAATTATGTAAACTCTGCCAATCTGAAAGATTAATAAAGGGTTAATAGCGTTGAGAATAATAAATTTTTTTCCGAAATTAAAGTTCGAAGCTTTGTCACAATCAAAATTTTTTTCAGCAATTAGTTTTAAATGATAGATCTTTTAGTCAAAATCTTTTGTATCGAAAAATCTTGTATTTTGACTTTTTTTATTTTGATTCCTTGAAATGAAGTAACTTTATAAATTTAAAGAATATAGGCACATATGAAAATAATATTTGCACCAATAATAATTTGAAGCAATTTTTATAAATGATTAGTGTTTGATGCCTAGGAATATGGTATGGAAATTTTATTTTTCATTTGATATTTTTGGTTTCAGATAAAATTCGTGGTTTATCCGGAACATTTGTATTGCACTCATAACATCATGTGTTGGTTGAAATATGTAATGAATGATTCAGAAGCAGAGAGTGTACTATCTCATTTTATTTATGGACCAATCAATTATTTAAATACGAATAAATTTTCTGAATTGAAAGTAAATTACATTAATAAATTAATAGGCAGAGCGGTAAGAAAGGGATGCTTTTATTATCTCGTGGGATTATCCAAGTGTAAACAAGTTAATGATATTCTTTTGGTGACCTGTGTCTGTTGCGAATTCCAAAATTCATTGGTTCCTCAAGCTATCGTACCAATTAGAAACCGTTTAATCATAAACTGTGAGTACGCCATATTTTTATTTTTTAAACTTACATAATATAAACCTTCTCATAATATAATTTTTTTTATTATTCCTAAATAAAGCATATTGTGTTTTGTAAAAGAAACACCGCCTAAAATTAATTTTCAATGTCTTCGGGTACCCAATAAAAATTTAAAATATATAATGAAATATATACAATATATATGTATAATGAAAATATATGTATAATATTTAAAACATATATATAATAAAAAGTGAAAAATATACGATAATTATATATTAAAATATATATAATAAAAATATATAATAAAAAGTAAAAAATATATAATAAAAATAAGATGTTTGATGCTTATGCAGCAGTGGCTATAAGAAATTTGTCGCGTTAGTATTTGTCAAAGACACCCAGTTTGTATCCTAATACATTAATGAGAAAGTGAACTTTGAATTGAAAAATTAAATATAAAAAAATAAATTTTAAAATAAATAAATTTATAATTAAATGTTTTTTTTCGAAATTAAAAGTGTAATTTTGATTTTCACCAATTATATTTAGATTTTACGTAAAAAAATTTCAGAAAGTGAACATTTCCATTAAGACTATTAAATATTATAAATTTATAAAAATGCATGTTTTTCTGGTTTCATCTTTCTTAACAATTTTATGTAATTTTTTATATTTTTAATACTGTTTTTTTTTTAAGACTATCATAAGAAATTGAGCATGCACGTGAGCGACATACCCTTCCAGAATGGCGATATGTCGCTGTTTGTGTTCTCACCTGCTTCGTTCGATGGAGAATATTCAGATAAGTGGAGGATAAAAGAGAACATTAGCAGCGACGACCTTTTCGAATTGACCAAACGATTATCGACGAGCAATGGAATCGACGAATTGCGCAATCTGCTAAAATATAGTAGAAAATCACACGTTGAAAATGTTACAGACGTCTCGGTTTTTTCGCCTTTCGATATGGAGAGAAATTTGACAATAAAAGATCTGCTGAAAGCGTTAGATATCGAAGAATTGATGGAAACCACCAATTTTTATTTAGATTTTTGCGGAAACAGACGGGACAGCCTCTCCTTATGCTTCGGCAATATTGTGCACCGTTCTCGTGTCAAGGTCACAAATGGGATGATGATCGTAGGCGCGATAACTATGATCCTCACCGGAAAAGAATCAGGTCCGCACCCGGAAGTGGTTAACGTAAATCGCAATAGTCAGTTTGTCTGGTTGATCTATGACGCGCTTCAAGAAGAAATCCTTTCTGTCGGTTCTTGTAACAGTGACAGGACCAATTCTAAAATTGTACCGAAGGATGACGCAGGTCCATCAGACAGTCCGTCAATGAAAAAGCCGAGGCTTGTCGAGACTTCTTGAAAACATTTTGGAAATTCAGGATTTGAAAAAAAAATAGAATTTTCAAGAATGTTTATTAATTTTTTAAATCATATTATTGATTATTAATTAATAATATTTATTAATATTAAATTATTAATTAACAATAATATTTATTAATATTTAATTAATTATTAATTATAGTAATATATTTTTGTTAGTATTAATATTAATTAATATTATTAAATTGCAAACCCGATCCTTAGTTGAAGGCAAAATAGTTCATGTGATTTATGATGTAAAAACGAGTTCGGTTTTCCTGATAAGAATTAAGTTTAGAATTACACAAATCAGTTTTACACTATAAAACGATTGATGTAACAGATCAGTAATTATTGCATAATGATGTGTAATTATGGAAGATGTCATATAAGATTCAACATTTTGATTATTTGAATTGACATGCATTATATTTCGTACGTAATATATTCTATGATCAACTTCTGCTAAAAATTGGGAGGCCAATGAAATAATTCTTTGGTCATTTGAATTTAATGTGTAATTGCATTAAATTGATAAATTTCTAAAACTAAAAAAATGCTCGTCTTTTTTAAAGTTGTTTTAAAAATATTTATACATATGTACATATATATATAGTGTATAGATATGTTAATTTTCATTAATTTATCTTATAATTTTACTGTTTTATAATTTTGTGCACTTCGAATTTACTGATAGGGACATAAAATATTCTTATATATTTATATGTACTATACTTGTACATGTATATATATATATATATATATATATATATATATAGAAAAATAATCGAAATATACATATACATACATGTACCTATATATATATATATATATATACATATATATATTATTTTGATCAGATATTTTATTACATTATTTTATTCGTATTCTATGGTAGATTATTTAGAAACGAAACAATTGTTCATATATTCGAAATTTACATTATATATTATTATGTACATCATTAAATATTACAATATTCTAAGAATGTTAATTGTGCTAAAATTTTATAGAAAAAGATATATATATATATATATATCTTTTTCAAATATGCAATGTCTTTGACTCTATTTTTATTTTGTTGTAATGTTGTTACAGCTCAATGTAATTACAATTAATTAATTTTTTTTTTAATTATTCTATTTATATATTCTTTTCTATTGTCCAACATTAACAGAATTGATCAAATTTTAACTTATTACGCTATATATATGTGTCTACGTGTCTACATATTTTTTTGTATTTTAATAATTCTGAGATAATGTATATTTATGTAATTATAAATAAATTTTGAATTATTGACATTAATATCAAATGATATGTTTTCACGTTTTCTTTATGTGTATCGGTATATGAGTGTGTTTGTATTTGAGTGTATATATTATGATTCTACTAGAATAAACATCTTTAGTTTATAAAGCATTCACCGAGACAACGGATTAAGATTTAAAAATTATATTACAACATCTTAGGCGAGCGAGAAAAAGTATAGCAAGAGGAGACAAAAAATCTTATATTTCCCTCAATTACCACTTCAAATATTACATCCTACAGTAACTCTAATTAACAATACGCGAGTTAGACTCCAATTGCTAAATATTACGATAAAAGCTGTTAAATAAAATTTGAGAATTTCATAGTACACTTTTGTCCTTACTTTTGCTACTTCATAACTAATACAGGATAGAAAACGTTATGAATGACGAATCGGCAAAAATGTTTGGTAAGTTCAATAACTATTGTTAAAAATTATGTAATTATTAATTTAATTTATCAAAAAAATAATAATCTAAAATATATCTTGTTATCAAAATGTTTTTCCTTTACTAATTATTTTAAATATTGTTGCGTTCGCCTAAAAAATTTTTAAACTGCGATATAATTTAATGGCTATGATTTGACAAGTCTTGGAATTAGATTAAGTAACTGATTTTGTTTTAAATCTGCTTCAACTATAATTTAACAAATCGTATAGCGTTTTATAGATATACACACAAGTTTAATTCAAAAGTTTAATTTTTGTCAATTCTATGACAAAAATTAATTGAAATTATAATAATGAATTAAATATTTATTAAATAAAATAATCAAATAAATATTGATTAATTAAAATAATTAATTGAAAAAGTAATAGAATTTTTTATTAATCAAAATAATTAATTAAAAATTTTGATTATATGAAAAAATTAATTGCAATTTTGTCTAATTGAAATAATTAATTAAAAAATAAACATTAATTGGATATTTTGAATTTCATAATGAACATATACGGCTTATCCCTACCATTATGAAGAAGACGTTAAATGTTTTCTTAAACCTAATATAAGTTTACAAAATACATTATATAATTTTATGCACACATCAGTCTCAAATTTATGTGCCCAGAAATTCTGAGCATTTAATAAGTTATATTAATAATAAAGTATTAAAGCAAGCAGTGGATGATTATATTCATAATCGCTCGAGCTTATCCGTCAGACAAGATACCGAATTTGTTTTGATGACAGCTATTAATATGAATATTCAATACTTGCTGAAGCTGATACTCCAAGTTATTGGACCCTTATTGATAATTAAAGAATTAGCTGTGGGCATGCTATATTTTTATTTTAGGTTTACTTACTTTACGTATCATATATATATATAATATATATATATATATATATATATATATATATGTATGTATATGGGTGTGTGTGTGCGTTCTGTGCATTTATCTATTACATAATATTTTTATAATTTTATTACAAAATGTAAAGTAATATTTACATAATTATAAACGACTACTTATGTAATTATATAATGATAAAAAAAATTTAATTGTAAATAATTATTAATTATAAATAATCATAATCATAAAAATTTTTATCTAAATTTAAAATTTTTGACGTTAAAAATGACACGTTTTGGTATTATTATATGTGTTTGAGAGTGTGCTTGTGTTGTTGTATATAGTATATATTATGATTTGCTCGAGCAGTTACCTTCAGTCTACGAAGGATCAAGCGAGAGACAGTTTCAGATTTAAAATTATACAAAAGAATATTTGACAAGAAAATATACCGATAAAATAAAATAATTTTACAGCAAAGCTGCGAGACTGCAATCACAAAATAATATTTTCATCAAAGTTGTAAAATTAAACATTTACGAACTTCGTATGACACACTTTTCTCTCTGCCTTTGATATTTTGTAACTAAAATAGGATGGAGAACAAGATGACTTCGAAAGAAGCAACACGAATTAGTAAGTTCATTAATTATGTTGTATAAAAATTATGCAATTATAGAGTTAATTTATCGAAACAATAATAATCTAAAATATATATCTTATTATTAATATTTCTTTTTCTTTTACTTACTATTATGTGTATATATATATATATATATATATATATATATATATATATATACCGTTTGTCTAAAGAATTTATATTTTTATATAATTTAATGGCTACAAATTGACAAGTGTTGGAGAAAGATTAACTAACGTAATTTTTTTTAAATCTGCATAAATATGCAGAAAATAACTATAATTTAGTTAATCGTATATCGTTAAAATTTAGTTAATCGTATATATACGTAATTGTCTGCTTTCACGGTAGAAAATATATTTAAGAGAACGTTATAATTAGATATAAATATTGTAAAATTTCACTTTCTTATTGTTTTAACATCAATATTACATTTTTTATTTTTATCGTAATAATTTAATTTTGTACAGATATTTTTAAATAAATTTTAAATTAAATTTTAAATTAAAAGTAAATATCGTCTCTTAAATTCGTTGGGGATATTAAACCAGGGTTAAACATAGTCATAATAAATATGAAATTCGTTTATGTAATATATAATCAAACGATATTCAAACGTAGTCATGTTATTAAACGTTGATAACAGTACATCATTTATTATCCGTATTGTTTTGATTGCTATAATATGTATATATATATATTATTTATTCTATTATTTAGATTTAATATTAAATATGAGTTGAAATAAAATTTTACTAAACGTGTTTAAAATAATTGTCGAATAAATTTCGATACATTCTACTTTTGATTTTGACATATATTTAATTATATATATTTTTAATTGAAAGAGTTTATAAGATGTGTTTATAAATTTTAACTTCAATTTATTTCAATTCAATTACTAACTATTCTTAATATTTCTTTCTTCTGATTTCAATTTTTTTTATTTATTTATCTGTTCTGTACGCTAGAAAATATATTGAAGGAGATGCGTTTCCAGTTTGCGTTTAAATGTTTGAATGATATAATGAAGATCAATCCGAAGGAAAATATTGCCTTTAGCCCACCTTGCATATATAAAGGACTTTTAATAACATATTTAATGGTTAAAGGTGATATTGAGGAGCGCCTAAAAAATATTCTTCTCTTAACGGAGATCAGCAAACAAGATTTGATCAATTACCGCGGTCATATCAAATATTCGAAGGTAAATATTCCTGACGCACTTTTGCATTAGATACTGTATTCTATAATGGAAAATTGTCAAAATTTGCAGTTTGTGTATAAAATAACATGTAAAAATAAATGTGTAAAAAAACTCCGCCAATTAAAAAGATTAATAAATAAATAATTAATAAAAAAGAAATATATTTTTTGCAAAATTATAATTCAACTTTTTGTTACATTTTAAATTTTACAGTAAGGAATTCTTTAATGAAATATTGATATTACAAACTCGGAAATTTTTGTTATTAAAAAATCTCTATTATTTTCATATTTTGCTTCATTGATTAAAATAAAATTGGCGAATATGGCCACCCGTAAATATAATTTAAAAAAAATAAAAAAATAGGAAGAAGTAATTTATAAATGACAGATCTATTGTCTAGAAAGAAATAAATATTTTATAAATATTAATTCGTTATTTTCTATTTCAGAATGTATCTATGGATAATCCCGAATGTTACAGTTACGATGTTAAATGTTTCATTAAACCTAATATACAATTGCAAGATACATTATCTCGTTTTATGCACACAGCAGCCACAATATTAGATTCGTCCACAAATTCTGAGCATTTAATAAATAACATAAATGATAAAATTTTAAAGAATGCAGTACACGATTACATGAGTGATTCCTCGAGTTTAGCCGTAGTTAGACCAGATACCGAATTTACTTTGATGACAGCTATCCATGGCAGATTTCAAAAATTTCAATATTTAGCGGCTGTTGAAGCGGATATTGAGACTATAGCAAGTCGCACTGACGATCGAAGAATTAGTTGTGAGCATGCTATATTTCCATTTTTCCCAACGTATATAATACAAATTTTTATAATATAATTTGTTTAGTTTATTTGAAACAAAACAAATTTTTGGTCAGTTGGTCCCCGTACCTACAGTAGAAGTAAAAAAAAAAAAAAAATATATATATATATTGAAGGGTTAAATATGACAGAAGAGTTAATCTTTCTTTAGAAAAATAAAATTGAAAAATATTTTTTTTTAATTATTAAAATGTTAATTCACGTCTTCACCGCTGTAATAATTATTTATATTGTTCAATGTTTTATTAAAATTTGTTTGCGTGTTAAAGATTTTTCATTCATATAAAATATTATGGATTTAAAAAAAAAACGCATATTATATACGGAAAAGATAAATGCATTTCTGGTTTTATGTATCTTGACTACATTCTGTAGTTTACTAATATTTATAATACTTTTTTAGACTTCCATAAGTATTTGGGGATACACGTGAACGAACACTATTATCAAAGCCGTCAGATATCACTGTTTGTGTTCAGACCTGCTTCATTAATATCTGGTCAATGTAGAATCAGCAAATATAAGGATTCCAGAACTAACATTTGCGCTTTGATCGAGCAATTGTTAACCAGCGAGGGATTCAGCGAATTGCACAAAGTGCTAGATAGAAGTGAAACATTATTAGAAAAGGTCGAAACACCTTTCATATTGTTGCCGTCCTTCGAAGTGGAGAAAAATCTGACAATCCGTGAGTTGCTGCTAGCATTAGGTGCTAAACAATTGTTGGAGCCGGACGCGATCGATTTGGATCCTTCCACCGTTGAGGGAGATCAACTCAGTGTGCGCATCGGCAATGTCATGCATCGTTCTCAAGTCAAGGTCACGCAGAAGGATATCTCAGCAAGTGCGATAACCTTGATCCACACCGGACGTGAATCCTCTCCGAGCACCGAAATAGAAAACGAAAATTGTAATCATCCCTTCGTTTGGCTGATTTATGATAAGAAACGTAGAGAAGTTCTCTATATTGGCGCTTTTAATAAATTTGCGAGTGCTGTTCCAAAATGTCAATGGAACATACAAATGGAATTTTTGATTTGAAATAACATCATATAACAAAGATGTAGTTACGTATTGCAAAATAATATGTAATTGTCGAAGCTTTCTTTCCACTTATGCGATTTAACTTTTTGGTGATTTAAATCGAAATGCATTGTATTTTGTGCGCAATGTACAACTGTAAACAGCTTTTATTTAAAATTTTGGGGACTAACAAAATAATTATTTTTTTATCTTAACTTATTGTGCACTTGTCTTAATTTTATAAATTTTTAAACCTAAAAAAAATTTACTGTGCGCCCGAATAATTTTGCAAACTTTAAAAACTAAAAAAAATTAAAACTTGTATTTTCTACAGTTGTTAAAAAAATATATAGCGTACTATCTGATTAATTAGATTTATAAGCTGGATTTCATAGTTTTATAACTTTTTACTTTTCTAATATACTGATAGAGACAAAACACAAGTTACATTAGAAGGCATTGACATTATTTGGTTATATCTATAACATATATATATAAAATTCGATAAACTAGTCAAAAGATAAACACATACATACATACATACATACATACATACATACATATATATATATATATATATATATATATATATATATATACATGCATGTATTTATAAATACATATTTATATATTGTTTACCTACGTATACATATATTATATATATATATTTATGCACTTTTGGATGTATGTATTTGCTTATAATATTTTTGTCATAAGTTTTATTGAATTATTTTATACATATATTCTATAGTCAAATCATTTAGATACGAAGAAATTGTACATGTCCGAAATTTAAAATATATATTATTGTGTACATGTTTATATATTGCTAATAGAATTGTAAGAATTAGTACTGTTCTATTAATGTTTAATAGAGAAAATAAACCCATCTTTTTTTCTCAAATATGTGTAACAACGCTTTGTTTTTGACTCTAATTTAATTCAGATAATATTGCAATTAATAGTATGCAAAATAATATTTTTATCAAAGTACTTTGATGACAATTATTCGTGGCAGATTTAAAAAATTTAAATATTCAGCAGCTGCTAAAGCTGATATTCGAATTGTAGACAGTCGCATTGTCGAACAAAGAATTAGCTGAAAACATTCCATATTTTTATTTTACCCAATATAATGTTCACGGTCTTGCAAAAATTTTATATAGAAATACAAATTAATTTAAATTGTATTTCATTGAAAATTCTTCACACACATACACACATATTGGGTTTTTATTTTCTATCTACGCAAATTTTCGATAATATTATTATATATATTCAAAACCTTAAAATAAACATATCTCTTAAAATAAAAAATAATCTAACTCGACAAGTTATCATAACAATTGTTTTGTAAAATATGAATAAAAGACATTTAAAGTTTTTATATAATTAGAGTATTTCAAAATATAATAATTATGCGTATGACAAAATTTTAATCTATTTTTTTAAACAATTATTCAAATATTGAAAGAAATTATTTTAAAGATTTCCGATAAAATTGATTTATATATAAACTTGTATAAAAAAATATAATAGATAAAATTTCAATTCATAATAATTTCTATGAATGATGAATAATTTAAAGAATTATAAGTTTCAAACAAAATATGTAAATATTATAATATACATATAATATATAATTAATACCTATTAAATAAAAGAATATATTTTATTAAATATAAAAAATATTTCAATAAGATGTAGAATATTTGTGTATTACATTATTAAGTTGTAAAATAAATCACCACTGCGTAAATAACCAAACAAGTATATTAAAAATTACTCACTGTAGTAGCTGCTTTGTTGTCGCCTGTCTTCGTAGACTTGTTTTATTCACCGTTTATCCTTTATTACTCCTTCACTTTTTTGGCACAAACATTCGCACATCACTTACGAAGAAATTTATGATTAATTATAATCGCGCACATTCACATACCACTCATCAGACGATTGCGATACTTTATTGCAATAAGCGCGAAAATTAATTAATTGTGCGATTTGAATAGCTAATCGTAAGAAATGATAACGCGTTTGATAACTACTTACATCGCGATTATATTACGAAAGATTATGCGATAATACACGGAGCATCTCGCGATGTTGCCTTCTCGGTCGAGATTCGCGGCGCGACTGCTAAATAGAATCACTGAATGTAATAAAAACACGCAATAAGCCACCGAATTTTTTGCATATTTTCGTTCAATATATGTATCCTTCGTTCGACTTATTATGTTTTGTTTACGTTCACGTTCGTTGTGCGTGTAGAATATACAGTCACGTCAAATAACTAGGAAACTTTACGAATCTGAAAATTCTGAATTCGAGGAATTTTACACACAAGAAGTACAAATGTGTAGATGAATTTAGAAATTTTTAATCGGCCGAAGAACGATTTTAAGGCATTCTTTACATGTAAAACGGCTTCTTGCTTTTCTCAAAAAGTATTCGAGATATTAAAAAAGTTTCATAAATCAGGAGACGCGGTAGCGTCTCGCTAAGTAATATTTTTCATGCATTCGACAAATTAAAACCACTAAAAAAGACATCACAGATGTAAAAAGAAAAGTTATATCTTTCGCCAGCAAAAATAGTTCTCTACAAAAAGTTGTAATCAAAAATATTATCTTCTCGAAAATTATGTTTATAGCAAAAATAATCTTTGCAAAAATTAATCATCATCAAAAATATTTTCCCAAAAATTATATTTATAAAATATATTTTATTTTTATTAATAATACTAGAAAAATATAAAAATATTAACATCGAAAAGTAATGAAATCAAAAAATTGTTTTAAATAATTATATTAATCATACGAGAGAAAAGCTTAAAATATTAGCATCAAAAAGTAGTGAAATTAAAAAATTGCACTAAGTAAATGACAACATAATATATAATATTTAGATGAATTTTCTATAATGATATAAATGTATAATTATTGCTTTATTTTAAAATGTTTATATATAATATATATAATAACAAAATAGTATGTATATTTTGACTGTGAAAGCCTCGCAAAAGAGAGATGTTATAGAAGTATTCTTTATAGAAAATATAAGCTTTTCGTATATAAGTAAAAGTATTTTCTTTCAGAAAACGACAGAAATATAAAAAAAACAAGACTAACAAGTACTAATCTAAAAATAGTGATACTAATCATTCAACATATTTTATTCAAATTAATGCTAAACTTTAACATTATACACATACTTAAAGCAACATACTTTCATAGAATTTCACTAAAAAACAATATTTACATCTTGCATAACACTGCACATAAACATTTATAAAAGCAATGAAAGTCTCAAGAATAATTTAAATATTATTTTCAGTAAAATCTATTCGCGCTATTTCTCTCCACATTTACGAACAGTCACGATTCATGAATATCTATTAAGAAATCGCGGAGATTTCTTCTTTATGAATTTTAAATGTCATTTTCAGCGATATACATGTATAATAAAGAACTAAAATATGTTCATTAAAGATTTAAAATTTATTCATAAAAGATCCAAAATTTGTCCATTAGATCCATAATTAGTCTATATGAGACCAAAAATTCGTCCGTTAGATACATAATTTATCCATTTAAAATCCATAATTCGTCCGTGCTCGTGTCAAGGTCACGCAAGAGGACGTCAGGCGGCTGCGGTAACCGTGATCAACGGACAGGAAAAACTTGTTCAAACGATATTGTAATTACATGTATGGATATCACTTACTCATTTCTTTGACTAATTTACGAGGAAATGAATGCAGATATTCTCTACATCGACGTTTTTAATGAAGTCGACAAACCTGTTTCTCAGACTGGATTGACAGATACAAATCAAACCCATTGAACGAGCTCATTCTAGGAGTTTATTTAAAAATCTTCATAACTGTGATAACAAACTTAAGGGGAACCAGTTTCGAAGCTTTCAAAAATTTGATTGATTTTGAAGAATTTTTTTTTAGAAAAACTTTTCAGCGAATTATTCGGAAACTTTGAGGCACCTATTATTACATTCTTGCAAGTACACATTTTTTTAATTAAAAATGTGTACTGTAAAGATCGTCTTTGAAGAATCTTCTTGCCGTTGGAGTTGCAAATTGACGAGTAGTTTTATATACATCCAAATTTTGTCTAAAATTAAAAAACTAAAAATTTATTATTATTTTTAAATTTATCATAATTAAAATAAATCATCATTAATTGCTTATTATATTAATATATATATATATATATATATATATATATATATATATAAGCAATTAATGATGATTTATTTTAATTATGATAAATTTAAAAATAATAATACATTTTTTTTTATTATGATTATATATATATATATATATATATATATATATAATCATTTTATATTTAATTTTTAATATTATTTAAGTAATGACTAATTATCAATAGCGTAGCGCGCGCTGCGTGCTGGTAATTAGAAAAAATTACTGATTTTTGAATATCGATTCAAACACTTTTTGATTATTAATTTTACACAAAACGAAATATGAATTAGAACAAAATAAATATGCCTCTTTTATAAATATTTTTATTTCGAACGAAGAATCTATAAATGGCAAACAATTTTGATATTTCTCACAAAAAATATTTATATTGTTTATTTAAAAAATAAACCCTAAAACTCTATATTTTCTATATATTTTGCTCAATTTGGCACTATTTACAATTAGATGAAAAATACAATAATCGAAATTTTCAAAATAGTAATCTAAGAAAAAGTAATTAGTGAAGTATTCGAAAAGAAACAGTCTTCATTTAAAGTTCGATGCTTTTTTTATGTTGGAAATGTCTAAAAGAAAATAAAATCAAGTTTTGTTCTGTATTTAATAATCGTTTATTGGTGAACACTTTTGGGTGTACATTTTTGGTCTATGACGGAGTCATTGCCTATAAAAAAAAATATATATAATTAATTAACATTAATGTATTGTTAACAAATAATTACAACTTTGTCAAATACCACACAGAAAGAACTCTCTTAAAATTTACCCTGAGAATCATGATAATTATGAGACAATATGGCACTGGAAAAATTTTATAAGAGTTTCTCTAATTAATATTTACCACAATAAAAATATTAATATTTAGAATATAATTATTATTATTTAGAATATTATTATTAAATATTAATATCGATTACAATAATGTATAAAATATGTTTAATTAATTTTATTATGTACATAGTAAA